GTAAAATCCAAAATCTTCTATTCTTGTTCATAATTACATTCATTAACATTAATGTTCAATTCGCTGTTTGTTTACGCTTGATCTTCTTTTTCCTTGTTATTAATGAAGTTAATACGATAGTTTACCATATTTTTGATGATATCATAACAACTCCAACTTCATTGATAACTCTGAACGCGCATTTGTTAATAAATATCATATCATAGCCACATTGCAAAAATGGCCACAAACCTTGAATACAATAGCCAAGCGTCCGTAGCTTCAATGTCAACCCACAGGAGATTGGCTTCTGGTTCACCCACTGTCATATCTGGCGTCTTATCTACGGCTGCTACTGCTGTCACCACTAACACGGTAGCCCCTCCAGAACTGGCAAACATTGACTTTAAGCCAGCACCCACAGCCGTCGTAAAAAATCCAAAACTCAAAATACACGTTTTGCTTGATTCGACTATCTACACCGCGGGTGGTAATGTTTATGGACGTTTGGTATTGACAAGCTCTACGTCAAAATCCATAAAGATAGGGGAAATATCCGCCGAATTGACGGCTTACGAAGGTAGGTGTCAAAGGCATTGCGTGCTCCTTATTGTCAAGCTCGTTCGATCTGTTTACTGATAATTGACATTGTGCTGGCACTCGTTAATTAACAAGAGTTATCGACGCGAGATTTTACGGCCTCCCAAAGTTTCTTATCTTCACGTCTAGTTTTCCAAGGCGCTACCCTTCCGCCTTCGAATGCTGTCCATGGTCCAAAGGAAAATGGTTTCTGGACTGCCAAGAAGGGGAAAACTACATTCCCATTTGCCTTTAAAATTCCTGCCGATGCACCGAGTTCGATTTCATTTCAAAGTGTCGCCAGCTTAAAATATGTGATAACAGGGTGAGTAAACTGTCCAACGAATTATAGCGTGGAGTTTGAGACACTGCTATTTGTTAATTTTTACATTGACTTTCCAAAGGGTTGTTCAAATCATGTACAATGGCAAGGAAGATACGTTGCTTAAATCAAAAGAAGCGTTCGTCGTCGAATCATGCGATATTGATAACCCTATCTACAAAGAACCAGTAGAGGCAATGAATATGAGACAATTATGGTTGGGTGGGAGCGGAGCTTTAATGGTAGAAGGAACGTTAGTCGAGAAACTTTTCATGAGCGGCGGAAACGTCAGCGTAAAAGTGCGAGTGAAGAACGATACGAAAAGAAGTGTAAGCATAAAGTTTTCATTTTTTCTACAGACGGTAATTGTGTATGTAGTGGTCATTCTCAATCAAAGACTGTCTGTAGGTACAAGGATTGAAATTGGCTGTAAAGCAAAAATTGGCGATTCTTGCAAACAAGAACAAGAAGGAAGCGGACGACGTGAAAGTAGTTTCTGTTACTGTCGCAGAAGAGTGGTTCAAGAATAAGGACTACTTGTTTGAGTCCGGTGAGGATCGAACAATAACCGTAAACATTTATGTACCAGTAAGTTTATTAAACATTATTCTTGTCCTCTGCGACTTGTCCAATTAACACTAGAGTCTATTTAGGCAACCGCTCGGACTATAAGTCATACCGTATTATTCGAAGTCACTTGCCACATTGTAGTATCGTTGTACTTGGGACCATTTACGTAAGTATTGTCCTTCTGTCGATTGAACTTGGTTAAGTGACGCTTCACACAATCTGATTCAGAATATGGTCACCACTTTTCTTGTCGATAAATTATATAGGAAATACCTAAGTATTGAACTTCCAGCATATATTTGCCACTCTGCCTCAGTGCAGCCGCCACCTGTAGCCAATCTGGAACTTAATCAATACAACAATCACTACAATATGATTGACGAAAACGCAGACTTTTTTGTGGAAGATCTCCGGCAAGATGATGATGACACACTTGGTGGCGAAACACAACCAGTAAACATTCCAAGCTCTGGACGTAAACTTCCCTGGAATAACGACGAAGCGCAGGGACAATACTCACCAACATATAATTCAGGAAAGTCGTCATTTTTTGGATCCGCAAGTCCAAAAAAGCTTGGTTCTTTCACTTCGACATTACTGGGACGTCCGAAGCCAAAGTCACCGCCAAATCCGTCAAAAATGATTCCGAAAGGTCCTACTCTGGCTCCTGCCTCTCCATATGCTTACATTCCGGCGATAGAACGTGTAAGATATCTATCATTTGCTACTCAACAACAAGCAGCATTACAAACACGACGGCCTCTTCCGACTCCTCCGCACGTGCCCGGTTTCGGTATTTACACTGCGAATGAGGCGATATCGCCTCCACTGTCGGAATATGAGTGGATTTCGTCTGCGCCCGATACGAAGATAGAACAGTGGTTGGAGACGCAACAAACTGGATATTATCCATCCGGGTCACGTCCGATTTCACCAGAAGTTGAATCCACTACTCCACCGCGAGAAACGACACCATGGTCCAATCTCAATCGAATACAAGCTGCGATAAATAGTGAAGTAGAAAGTGAATCCCTCGGAGCTGGGATTGGTGGAATCCCAATAGAGGCAAATCGGAATTATCGCCTTCCAGCTGATTCGTTTCAGAGAAGTGAGACGCCGGTTTCTTCTTTGAAGGGACCGTCAGGCTTGACATTGTTGATGAAATCACAAAACTCGCCGCCGCCAGCTATCCCAGAAGAATTTATCTCGAGGGCAGAGACACCCAATACGAACTATGATAATAAAGTGACTAAGGGTCGTCCTTTGCCGCCTACGCCTCCGACTAAACCTCCGTTACCGTCGAGACCTTTAGCCAATCCCGAATCTCCCAGAGTAGCTTCTCCTGTCATTAAGAACTCACCCGAGAATGATCAATTCAAAGTTGCACGGAAACCTGTCACCGATAATAAATTCTTGACTGAATTAATTGCTGAATATAAGGCTGACAGTCGAACTGTATTGGAGGATGTCAACATCGACAATTCTGATTCTAATAGATCTGACATTTCAAGGGTCAAGTCCCCCAATGACAATCCAAGCTCTTCTGCCGAGGCAGCAGAGTTTGAATCGCCGAATCAATCAAAGCCTGCTACACCAATTAAAATTCCTGTTAGTATTAATACTTCACCGAGTAGCTCGTTACCTGGTTCGCAAAGTCCAATTGACCCTTCTAAAATCACTGCTGCAGCTACTACTTATGTTAATACTACTATTGCTAAGCCAGTCGTGGTTAAGAGCAAGCCTTTGTCACGTACGAAAAACAAAAACGGAGATGATGTTAATGATGAAGAAGATGCAAATTTGACGGCAAAGATTACCCAGCCTCCAAAGCAGGCGTTAAGCCCTAGATTGCAGGAATATATTCAGAAATATATCGTGGCGGCTGGGAGATAAAAGATTTGGTTCTACTAACCGAAAAATAACGTATTTACTAATGGCGTATTTACTGTTCGTTGAGTAGACTACTTAATTGGACTGTGATTTGTTGTATTATATTGGACATTTTTAT